TTACAATCATCAAATTGTAAAGTAATTGCGATAAATCATGAAGATAAACTGCAAAATAAAAGTCATAAGATTATCTAAGATAATCATATCATCAAATATCAATTTGTATATATAATCAAATTAAGCTTGCGTGAAATTAAGGATACCGATCAAATCATAATAAAGCAGATTTTGTATTGATTTTATTTACTGTCGTTTTGTTGCATAATAACAAAGTGAAATGACGCCTACGCATGTTTATCAACTTTCTCGAATATTAAGATATTTTAAAGCATCTCCCACGTTTTTAATAAAACTAAAATTACTTGAAAATGGAAAATTTACAATAGAAGAAGGGTCTACGCATTTTCGTTACTTTCTAACGATTATCTTGGTTTCTTGTTTAATGATTTATACAATTACATCATCGATGTACGAAGATATATATCATGGAATGGCAACTTATATTAACATATTTAGAGTGGTGATTTCAATTAGAAGTTTGATATTAAACTTCACACAAAGAGTATATTTAAAAAAATTTTATAAAAATATCATTGAACTGGATGTGAATATTGAACGTCACGGATATCATTTTTCTTATAAAAGTATCATATTTTTAATCGTATTAAAAATGTTCTTAATAGTGATAATAATAATTGGGAACGTTTTGTTATGTTTAACATTGAAAGGATCGTTTAAAACTTGTTTAATTCATTTTGGAACTTGTAACGTTCCGTATGCCATAAGCGGCTTCGTACTTTTACAATATTCCGTTGGCGTTTTGATACTTTGGGATCGAACTAATATTTTAAATCGAGTTTTAACAAATCTCGTTGTGAAAGAGAGAAGAAATTTTAATTTAAAACAAAATTGGAATGAAATTAGAAATTGTTTAATCAATTTAAGTAAAATTCACAACGGTATTTTTAAAGGTACTTCTTTAATCAATACAATTTACTCCGAACAATTATCTTGGACCATTTCAAAAACTATTTTGGAAATGTTAAATTGTATGCACACCTATATAAAAAGCGACAACTATTTAATGAGATATTATAACATGTTTTGGGCTATTATTGCGGTTATCGAGTTGGTTTTAGTTGTACCAATATGTTCGTCGACCACTAGAAAGGTGCAATTTTGTTTTTGTTTAAAAAATCATTTAAAAAATATTTTTAGGCGAAAAGAACCGCTCAAATTTTAAACATGTTAGAGACGGATATTGGAGAAGTAGATTTTGAGAAAAATATGTTTTTATTGCAAATGAAACATCAAAAAATTAAATTTATAGCTGGCGGAAGCATTGTGATGGATGAGACCGTCTTAATGCATGTAAGAAATTAATTATCAAATGAATCATCATTATTTTTTTTTGTTATTTTAGCTAATTCGTACAGCAAGTAGTTATTTTATAGTTTTATTGCAATTTGATTCTGATTAAATAATTCTGATTTTGTGTCTGGAAGTGAAAGATGAAAATTGGCTTCAAGAATACGTTTCTCATTAACTTCATACAACAGTTACAAATTCTCAATTTGACTTTGCAAGGCAAAAAATTATAAGTCGCAATGGGGTCATACACACTTATTAAATTTAGAGAAAATTTTTATGTCAAACGATATATGCAAGTATATGCATGAACACAAAGTAAAAGAAATATTTTGATCAATTTTATATTTTGCGTAATTTGAAGTGAAAAATAGCAAATATTCAAACGAAATAATTTCGCGGCTTTTCTGTGACGTAGGAACCGCACTGCCTAAAACAAGTTAAATTGTCCGTTAGATAGCGCTTGCGGTGTGACAGTGTCAAAATAAAACCATGGATGTAATAGAGTGTCTCTATTACATCCATGAACAAAACATAATAAACATAACCTACAAACACTCTATCTCTTTTCAATACAACCTAAATGACGTTCATCTCTTTCTCGCATTTGAGCGGGGAGCAGGGGACGCAAAAGTGAGAATCGTACGTCATCAACGCGGGAATTTTAAAAGCGCAAATGGGTATATAAATTTTCAATAATTTTTTTAACAATGACTTTGTTCGAAAAAAAAAAAAAAAAAAATAACGGTAACTATATTTTTATATAAACTTTCAGAAAATATAATAAAAAAAAAATCGTGTATGACCCCATTAAAATAAAATACAAAGTGATCAGAATTCAAAACATTTTGATAGTTTAAAACCAAGCTCCTTTAATATAGTGGAAAATAAAATTAATGAACAAGAAAAAATTGAAGAGTTGAAGAATTTAAAGGATAATATTGATTTAATAATGTTTTTTTTAATTTTTAGTTATAATTTACAGGAAACTGTAAATTTAATTTCTTTGACGACACTAAAAAAAAGTTTATTTTTAGCTTTATTATTTATTATTTTTTATTATATTATTTTTAGCTATGAGGTTTTTGGCATTAGGTCTATTTCTTATTCTTTTAGAATAAAGCTAAAAATAAACTTTCTTTTTTACAATTTCTAAACGCCGCCATCTAGTGTCGTCGAAGAAATGTAGTCTAACATGTTAAACTTTTCGTAATTTTCGCAATTCATCTTAAAAAACAGGATTTTTAATGTGGCACTTCAGAAAATTTTAGAATACAAACAAATGTTGCTATTATTATATATCTATTTGAATTCGTAAAAAAAATATATCAGCGCCATCTATCAATAATTTATTAAGTCATCTAATAATAATATTAAATATTAATAAAAAATGTGAAATGATGCAATCTATTCCAACTTTTGTGTAAAACAAATATAAATTAAATAGTTCAACAAATATATTTGTTTCAAATATCAGAAATATGTTTTTTTTTAATTTTTAATTATAGTACCGTAATTTACAGGAAACTGTAAATTTAATTTCTTCGACAAAAGACAAAAGGAAAAACAAAAGACGATAGTGCTTTGAGGTTTTCGACATTGGAATTTATTTAGAAAAAGAGATCGAGACATGTAAGCTACTTGTTTTCTAACTCTTATAGTTTCCAAGATAGCCTATTCGGACATCGAATTTGAACCACCGAAATGACCGCACGTAGGTAATTAGTAAATTTTCAGATCGGGCATTTCTGCCTTCGCATTCATTGTACCTAGATCATACTTTTGATCGAGACGTTGATGACTAAAATTGATCAATTAATTAAGGAGATAATTGATGTGTTTGATTAATTAGTTTTTTGTGTTTTAATCAAAATCTTTACATATTTCGAATTGGGCATTTCGACGTACGCATTTAGCCAGACGCAAGCTTTCGTTTGAGATATAAAACAATAAAATCCGTAAAACCGTTCTCTAGTTATAATCAATTCAATACAAATTCATTTTTTCTTATTGATGGGGGCTAAATTTTCGGTCGTCCATACTTGCATAAACAACGAGCCGAACACTTTGTCATTCCGAGGGCTACTTTTCTAGTCTTCTTTTTTCAAATTTTGTATTTTTAGCTGTACCGGGTATTCCGTTAAGGTTATCATAACAACGATGTTTATAGAAAATAAGAAATTATATATAGAGCATTAAATTTGCTTTAAAATGTTCTTTATTTCATGATGATATCTCAATTCGTTCTTGAGATACGATTTTTTTAAAATTTATATTTCCTAACACAAAAAATAAGGGATGATCCAACGTCTTGGCTGCTTCGTTTTAATAATTTGTTGGGCACCTGATTCTTTTGCAGGAAGTGTTAAACTTTAAAATTCGATTAGTGCGTTTTATTTTAGTAAAATGACGTAAGTTTTATTTAAAATGTTTCGAGAAAACGAGTAATTTTTTTGTTGAAAGGTTGAGTTTTAAAACCAAAAAACGATTTAAAACCGCTTCGGCCCGTCGTCTTTACATTTTTTGTTTATTCACACAATCCAGTTCACACAATAAATTAAGGAGGGGATGCTTGGAAGTTGATTCGCTAATAACGCATTTTAGTTGATGTGCGGGCATAGAAGGGTGATGAAGTAGTTTAGAAAAATAAAACTTATTACTTGAATTAATACGTGTTATATTAATTGATTTTTTTGTCACAATAAATTAATTAATTAATCTTTCCAGCTGAGCTTCGAAGTAAAATCCAAGGGAAACAACATCCATTCGGTGAGTCGTTTCCAATTTTATTAATTTACAAAAACATATCGGGATAATTCGCGATTTGAGCGGTGTAATGTTACCAGATAAAAACCGCTTGAACGCTACTCATTGGATTTGTGGTTGAAAAAGGGTACAATTCAATAAATTTTTACATTTTTTGCTTGAAAAATTTTATAGTTTTAATTATCAACATTGTCAAAATGATTTCTTTGGATGTTTCGAGAAAAATGCACTTACAGTTTCATGTACTACAATGTTATGCGGGTATACGCCTTGTTAATTTAACGTTTATAACTTCTACATTCAGCCAGACGCAAGCTTTCATTAGTTATAGCGAATTTAATCAAAATTAGCCGAAGACGGTGTTATTCGGACGGCTGTACAAGGTTAACGGGAAAAATTCGAGATGTGATTCGAGACGGGCTTTTTGTGATTTCAATAGAAAAAACTATGACGAATCGAATGACGTATAGATCTTGATAATCGAATGCATCGTTTACGAGTTATAACTAATTAAAGAAGGTCGTTTTTGTGTTATTTTCCTGTAGCTTCACGATCAATGCTATTATTCCACGTGGAAAATAACCATGATGCTCTGATCTCAATGAGAGTTAGTACTTTCATGGAGGCATTGTTGTCAGTGAGGCTTACAAACCCTCCAGCATGCCTATGAAGTGGGTATATTTGCATCTTGGTTATTTACACACAAATATCTAAGTATACTTTATCGGTAAAGTCGCAAGACCTTCAGAGATGTGAATTCCTGCAAAAGAATCAGGTGCCCAACAAATTATTAAAACGAAACAGCCAAGATGTTGGATCCATCATCCCTTATTTTTTGTCACAAAATATAAATTTAAAAAAAATCGTATCTCAAGAACGAATTGAGATATCATCATGAAATAAAGAACATTTTAAAGCAAATTTAATGCGCTATATATAATTTCTTATTTTCTATAAATATCGTTGTTATGATAACCTTAACGGGATATCCGGTACAGCTAAAAATATAAAATTTTAAAAAAGAAGACTAGAAAAGTAGCCCTCGGAATGACACCGTGTTCGGCTCGTTGTTTATGCAAAAGTATGGACGACCGAAAATCTAGCCCCCAATAAGAAAAAAATAATTTGTATTGAATTGATTATAACTAGAGAACGGTTTGATGGACTTTAATGTTTTATATCTCTCTATTATGGCTGAGTAATTCTGTGTAGAGTATATTGAACACTTCCATATCTGAAGCTGCTAGTTTTCCATATTTACATATAGATAGAATAATCCTGCAAAATAATTTAATATAAAATAGTATTATTTAAGTGTTTGCCTAACCTATCCTTTGATATGGACTCCCTCCGCTGATAGAATGAGAGTCATTCGGCTTGCACATACAACATATTAATCCTAATATTCCACGTGGAAAATAACTATGATGCTCTGATCTCAATGAGAGTTAGTACTCATGGAGGCATTGTGGTTAGTGAGGCTTACAAACCCTCCAGCATGCCTACGAAGTGTGTATATTTGCATCATGGTTATTTTCCACGTGGAGCAATGGGATTGATATGTTGTATGCGCAAGCCGATTGACTCACCTTCTATCAGCGGAACGAGCCCATATCAAAGGATAGGTTCGGCAAACACTTAAATAATACTATTTTAATATTAAATTATTTTGCACGAATGTTCTACTTATATTTACATATGGTACACTAGCTCAAGATACGGAAGTGTTCAATATATTTTCTACGAAGAATAATAATAAAAATTCCTTATGTATGTATAAATAGAATATTCGTGCAAAATAATTTGATATTAAAATAGTATTATTTAAGTGTTGGCCTAACCTACCATTTAAATGACTCCATATATCTACCGACTGGAAGTCTGGCCCCCAATTATAAAAAATTAATTTTGATTAAATTCGCTATAACTAAAGAACGGTTTGACCGATTTTAATGTTTTATATCCCAAACGAAAGCTTGTATCTGGCTGAATAATTCTTTGTAAAGTATATTGAACACTTACATATAATAATAATAATGCTTTAAAATTTTAAAATAAACTATTCCCCTGTGAAAAATGATCCTATTATACATATTTAGCCACCCACACTCTTTTAAATTATGCGAGATTTTGCAGTACTTTCGTATTCCATAAATTAGTCTTAAACACCCATTTTGGACGTACTGCACCCGTTTTCGTTTGTCCTTAATTATGCAAGCAGCATAGACCGAGTCACAGTGATGAAAATTGGATAAAATCAAAGAATCAGTCAGTAATCTTTTACTGTTCTCATTTAATACTTGCCGATATGGATAAAGGGATTTTCATACGCAATATGATTTCTGTACTAGCTTATTTATTTGTGAATTAAATTTCAAATCATCATCTATTAACAAACCCAAATTTTTCACAGTGCACACGTGCTGTAGTTCTTGATTATTTACACAAATTTTAAGATTGTCATTAATAAATTTCATACGATTTTTGTTACCAAATACTATCACATTAGATTTGCTGGAGTTTACTTTTAGGCCATGCCACTCAGAAATGTCAACAAGTGATTGCACATCAGAATTTATTTTGACAGCAGCAACATTAGTCTCGGTGTGAGGAAATGATATTAATAACTGATCATCATCTGCATAAGCATGGTATTTACAATGCTTCAAGTCCGTATAGAACATACTAGTATAAATGATGAATAATAAAGGACCACATATACTACCCTGAGGAACTCCTTTAGAGACAAACAAATGCTTTGGAATAACACTCCGCAACACACCGTCCACAACATCCATTAGTACAGTATTGCAACTATGACCCGGTCTAAAAACTGACTGGTTGTCAGGTATGATGTCAAAAAGCAATAGGTGTTCACGTAACTGAGAACAAACTATTTTTTTCAGGTAAAATGCTTATAGGTCTAAAATCAGTATAGCAGTTGAGGAGAGTTAATTTTTGGCTATGGAGTGACTACAGAAATCTTCCAACAGTCAGGGAAAACGGCTTCCAAGAGACGTGTATTAATGATATGCGTAATCATATCTAATAAGAATGGACACGACATTTTTATTGTATTTATGCCAAGAAGATCGCTTCCAACGGTATTGGAGTGAATATATGATATAACTTTAGCCACTTCACCCGGTGCCGGTGTTGTATGAAAAGGAAACAATTGTTTAAAATTTCGTAACGTAGTGTTGTTATAATATTGTAATAAATCATGATCAATGTTATTATTTGAATTGTTCAAGAAATAATCATTGAATTAATCTGCATCAGAAAAACGTTCAGGGACTTATTATATGTTTTCCATAAATCTTAAGCTGCTAGTTTTCCATATGTACATACACTGAGGGAAATAGATTGTACGAATCGTATTATAGAAAAAATATTATACATGCAGCAATTCATTGTATTATATTCATTATATTTATTGTACTGAATACAATCTCGTCTCGCTGTCACTATTCATAATAAACGTATTATACCTTATAGTATATTTTTAGTGCATAGTACAATCCATTTCTCTCAGTGTATGAATATTCGTGCAAAATAATTTGATATTAAAATAGGACCATTTAAGTATTTGCTTAACCTATCCCTTGATATGGGGTCCCGCCGCTGATAGAATGAGAGTCATTCGGCTTGCGCATACAACATATCAAATCCTATTATTCCACGTGGAAAATAACCATGATGCTCTGATCTCAATGAGAGTTAGTACTTTCATGGAGGCATTGTCGTTAGCGAGGCTTACAAACCCTCCAGCATGCCTATGAAGTGGGTATATTTGCATCTTGGTTATTTTCCACGTGGAACAATAGGATTGATATGTTGTATGTGCAAGCCGAATGACTCTCATTCTGTCAGCAGACGGAGCCCATATCAAAGGATAGGTTCGGCAAACACTTAAATAATACTATTTCAATATTAAATTATTTTGCACGAATGTTCTATTTATGTGTACATACATATGGAAAATCTGGATACGTAAATCGATAAAGCGTACTTACATGTTAATTAAAATATTTGAACTGTAATAATAATCATAATAAATGCCTCTTATTAAATTCATGTAATTTATGGTTTTTAAATTAATAAATAATCTCTAAACATCTTTAATTTTTTATTTTAATCTTTATCTCTCCCGACTGATCGCTGCTGCTGTAACGTCTTTTATGAAGGATCCTTCAAACTGCTAACGGGATTGAGGAAAAAATCTCCTGCTTGGTTTTCTTTAAGTAACGTCTTTTAACCACAACCGTAGCTTTGCTTTATTTTTTATTAAGTAAATATAAACATGTCTTCCATAAAGATTACCACTACCTCTATACCCTCTTAAGTTCCAACTTGGTCCAGAACGCACATAGCTATACTACTTCTGTCATATTTCCAATACTTTTTAAGTTCTCCAGTCGATTTTAAACTATTTCCAACGATTCCAGAAAATGTCAAACCATTTTAGACAAATTTTCAACAATTTCTAAATGTTTTAGCATCAAGTTAAAAAATATTGTTTATTACTATTATTATTTTAAGTTTTGACAAATTTAATGATGTTTGACACTTTTCAAATACTTTTTGAGAAATCCAGTCAATCTTAACTCATTTCAAACGATTTCGAAAATGTTAAACCATTATAGATAAATCTTGAACAATTTCAGCACCAAGTTTTTCCAAATTTAGCGATGTCTGACACTTTTTTAATAATTTTTGAGAAATCCAGGCAATCTTAATCTATTTCAAACTATTCTAGAAAGTATTAAACCATTTTAGATAAATCTTGGCCAAATTCTGAATGTTTCAGCACCAAGTTTTGCCAAATTGAATGATGTCTGACACTTTTTTAATAATTTTTGAGTAATCCAGTCGATCTTAGTCCATTTTAAACTATCCCAGAAAATGATAAACCATTTTAGACAACTTTTCAAAAATTTCTAAAGCAATAAGTTTCAAATGAACGAAAATAAATAAAGTTATTTTAAAAAATTAAGTTTCTTTATTGTTAAATAAAAGTTGTAATATAACATAGCAATAGTCTATAATACTATGAGCATATATAGAAATATATCACAAGAAAATTTAGTTTTATGCAATAAATTGTTGTCGTCAACGTTATTAAATAATAAAATTGTATTGACATTCTCATAAATTCCTCGTATGCTGTTTTCAGTATTAAATTTAATCGAAATTGTAATTTCCTAAACATATAATTTAATTTAATGAGACATGGTAAAAAAGTGCTGATTCATTTAAATCGATGATATATGGCAATAACATTTGACACTTATTTTCTTTAAGTTTTATTAACATCATTTTTTTCTGAAATTTAATTTTAACGTTCAAGACCAATAATACATTTTAATAAAGATTATCAAAAAAAATAATTAACATCTAAAAATTTATCACACCAACTTAGTAATTATAAAAATACAATGATAAAAATAAAATTAAAGTACATAACAATTTAATTTAAAAATAACCTACAAGAGTTACTTATTTAGTTTTATTTCCATCATAACATAACAGATAAGATTGATTGAGATTGATTTAGATTGAAATGGATTTTTTTGATAGATAGCGATTATGTCATTAGATTGGAAATATGAACTTCATTAACCCGGAAGAACTCGCGCGTGGTTAAAACAACCCAGATACAGGACATGGCATTATTCTTTGCAGTTATAAGAATCGCTTTAAAACTGTTAAACAGATGGATTGTACATAACAGATTTGATAACTGCCACTAAATACTTCTGTTATATTTATGTATTCTATTATAGTCAGTGCTAAAACAATTTATTCATGTATATTTGAAAAAATACCCAGCGCAGGTTCTTAAGTATTAATTACATACGCGCGTCCCGCCGGGTTAAAGATGAATTTTTGGATAAAAATCATTTAAAATCAGTCCAAACTTGATAGATTTATGCACAAAAAGAACACATGGTAATTAATATACATCGTTTTTTAGATTCTCAATATTGTGTTGGGACATATTTTAAAAATTGTTTATTCCTAACAAAGTAATCTTACAAAAATAATAGTAAAATGGAATACTTATTATTAATCTCCAAGCACCTTTTTTTAATAAATCATAAATGCTCAAACAACCTTAGAAAATACCTTAAATCCTAACACTTTATAAATCTTCACTTTTTTTGTTATTATTAGCAATAATTTCAAATTGATCGACAAGTTCTTTATTTTGACACAACAATTCCATAATTTGTTTTCTTAACAATTCGGCTTCTTTTAAACTTTTATGTAATTTTTTATGATTACTTGGTCCATTTTTATTTTTTTCTTGACTCATAGTCACTTTTTCGCCATTTTTAAATCGGTCTAAAAACGTTTTTTCCACGCCACTTTTAAATTCGTTAAATTCTATTTTCATAACACCACAAAGATCGTGCAAACGATTATCATGAATCGCAACATCTTTATTTAAAATCATCGTTTGAACATACATCGTTTGAGCGTATTTGTACCAATCTTCTAAAATTTCACCTAATTGTGTAAAACTTGGATTACATTCAACGTCTAATAATGTTTTTAATGAACGATTTGTTTCAGTTAATTTAATGCGTTCGAGAACGTGAAATTGTTCGTCGTTGTAACTTAATGATCTTGTAGCGCGATTTCTAACGAGATGTTGCCAAGAATCACGAACTCGTTCGACTAACGTTTTTGCTCTTGCAGAAGCTAATGTATCGACGGGATCTCGAATTGCTCTACTTGAAGATTCCCATTTTGTTTTTAAAAGATTTTCAACGACAATTTTTTTATATAATTCTTGTACTTTATAATTTGATTCGTTTATAAAGTTTTCAATTAATTTATCGAATTCAATACTGTAATCAGGAAAACTTGTTTGGTTATTTACTTGTTGAGAATTAATTAAAGTTTGTGATAAATTAAACGATTCCGCGGATTGTTTACTAATTTCGGAGATATCATCTAAATGTTGACATTTTAAATTCAATTTAGACAATTCTTTACAGATGTAATTCGTAAAATAATTTGTTGCTAAATTCATGTAGGTGATATTTTGGGAGATTTTTTCAATTCTTCGTTTACAAACATAAGAAATGCTGCAGGCGATTTTTCCTTGGGCTGCATCACTTTCCACAGAAATTAAATTTGGAAATTCTGGAAAAACTGGAAGCTCATTTTCTGGGGTAACTAAAATATTATTGTTTTCTTTATGAAATAGGACTAAAGGATCATCATCTGAAATACTGGGAAAACCAAGAGCAGTGGAATCTTTCTCAATGCTTTCAATAAACAATTCATCCTTAATTAATAATAATTGATCATTTCCTGAAATTCCAGTTTGTTCAAAAATATATCCTTCTAGTTCTTCATATCTTTCTTCTGGATGAATATAAATTTTAATTTTCGAAAGATGATTTACATCGAATACTGTTAGAACTTTACACGATAAAATGTTTACAACTTCATTAAAAAATTTTTCAAATCTCCACACACGTTTTTGGTCTGCTTCTAATAAACCAGCAAGTAGAGGAGTTACAATTTTCTTTAAACCAGCTGTTAGTTGACAATTACTTGGTAATTCTCGATTCCATTCGATTGGACCATTATCTTTCATTTGAATACCAGAAATAACTCCACTTGCTTTCGTTGTTGTTATATGATACATAGTTTCTTTATTTCTTCTACCACCAAATGGTCTAAATGGTAAATTTCCTAAAATAAAAAAGTAAATAAAAATGATTCATTAATAAATTTGTTACTTATTATTATTACCTGTAGCTACATGATATAAAGTAACACCAATTGACCATAAATCAACTGTTGCCCCAAAAGTTTTTCCAACAGGTTTTCTTAAAACAGCTCTTTCATACATATCTGGATGTAAATACTCTTCAGTGCCATATAATGAAGCGAATTGTTGCCCTTCATGTAATTCTCTAGCAGCACCGAAATCTGTTAGTTTATAAACTGTGGTTCCATCATCACAAATAAATTTCATAATATTCCCTGGTTTCAAATCTCTGTGTACTAAATTATTATCTCGTAAATGTTTCATTCCAGCAGTTAAATGGCTCAAAACTAATAAAAACTCTTTCTCTTCTAATCCATAAGTATTTTCTGGGTCATCAAGTATATTAAAAAGACTACCACCCGTACACAGTTCCATCACGATTACTTTCCCACGACCCTCTTGCTGTTCCTCTTCAATGGCAAGTAATTTCACAATATTTTCATGCTTAACTTTTTTTAAAACCTCAAACTCTCTCATTTGTACCTCTAAAGGTCTCATATGACTTAATTGATTGAACGTTTTCACTGCTACTAACTCCCCATTCTTTTTATTTACTCCTTGGTAAACTGCTCCTGTCGCACCTTTACCTAACACACTTGTTGTGCACCACACATAATTCGCCGAAGCTCTTAAAAACGACATAATTGCGAAAACTTTGATAATGAATGAAGAATATTAATGTAGCATAACCTATAAAAAATCACAATTTATAAGTTTCTCTAATTTAACCATTTACAACTTACTTGTTATCTCTTCAAACAATTAATATCAAGATTTATATGATTCAGAGACACGTAGAAAGAATTTTTTATTATTATTTATAGATTTGTTAGTAAATAAAGGGGTTTTCTATTCTGCAGGTTGTTAACTTATCTACAAAACAACACACCATCCAGTATTCTTGTAATACTGGTTGCATAAATAAGATCATATTTTAATTTTTGTCAGATTTGATTTTAATGAATACAAATTTATTTCTTTATTAAATAAAAAAAACTTGTCAAATGTTGGTAAAAATAAATTGAGAGAAACTAGACGATTGCAGGAAAACCATAAAAGAGGTGGATTAATGATAAATGATGACATTTCAAAGAGGCCTGAAGTGGATAAATACAGGCTGAGGAAGAAGCAGTTGGTATTCACAAATGATATCTACTTCAACATAAACACAGATACAATACATAACACTTATTAAAAATTTTATTTAAAAAAATCTATCTAGCACTTTGTAAAACTTTACGTGAAAGTCTCATTAAACCAGAAACTGGATCTCTCCCAAAATACTTCACTTGAAACTCTTGTCCAACTTCTAAACCTAACGCTGATGGATGAGCAACCTAAATTTAAAAAAAATTAATTTCATTAAACAAATAATAATTTTTTTATATACTTTTCTTTGATCTAATTGGGAATTATGTAACAAAGCGGGGGGCATTCCCGAATACAAAGTAACCATAACCCCAATATCCCGCAGCTCCACAATTGTTGCTTTATAAACTCCGCCAAATTCTAATTCTGGAATCTTTTCTGTTGTTAATAAATTATTAATGATTTCTTGAGCTTCATTCATAGCTTGTTGACTTGGTGCAAATATTTCGTAGGAGTTATCATCAACTTGATTTATCTAAAAAATAAAATAGTTTATAATAAACTAAAATTTATTTTCGTTAGAATTTACTTGAACTCCAGTTTCTAAAAATATTTTCTTTAAATTCACACCTCCGACACCAAGTAATTTCCCACGTTTATTTGGTTCTATTTGTAACGTTTCGCTAACTGGCCAATTATCTTTCGATTTTTGTCTTGGTTTATCAATACAGGAATGCATTATATCTAATATTCTCGATTTGGCTTCAACACCTTGTTGAACAGCCTCCATTACAATTTTTAATGGCAAACCAGGTATTTTAATATCAGCTTGTAGAGCGGTTATGCCCTTTTTCGTACCAGCTATTTTAAAATCCATATCACCTAAATAATCTTCAATACCCAATATATCTGTTAAAATTCGATAATCTTCCATGTGTTTTGTATCGTTATTTGAATATTTTGTCATTAAACCGATTGCAACACCAGCAGCTGGTGCAATTATAGGAACTCCAGCATCCATTAATGCTAAACTACCACCACAAACACTTGCCATTGAACTAGAACCTAAAAAATTAAATTAATTACTTAATTTATTAGTTCTAGGTCTTGTGTTAGTTCTAAGTATTAGTTATTTACTAGTTCTAGGTCTTGTGTTAGTTCTAGTGGTTGTGTAAAACTAGAACTAACACTAGACTGAGAACTAGAAACATTCGGATTTAGCCGTACATCTTTCAAGACGGCAATTTTTATTGCAACATTTTATGTTTGGTACGTAAAAGTACCGCCAGTATAATAACAGGTACAATATTGAGATTGAGAAATAAAAGATGAAGAAGATGACATTGTTATTACTACTGCTAGTGAGGTACCTATACTGGAAGATGAAGAAGTAGAATAAGTAACTAATGAAAATGAGGAAAGTACACTGAAATAGTAGAAATATGTGGCAAAGGGCCCGACAAGAAGAACAAGGCAAAAATTGATAGAAGATGGAGAAGACGGGAAAAACAGACTAAAATTCCAAGATACCATTATATAGAGAAAGTGAGTGTGAAAGATATTACCTTTCAAAGTAATTTGTACGTCACCCAAAGGAATAAAATGCTAAACTTGAAAGAAGATATTGGCATACATTTCTTAATGAGTTATCACAGTTTGCCAAGCTATAAACTCTTCTGGAGTAATGCTGAAGACTTGGATGAACCACTTGTCATACGAACAATGACCAGTAACAGGAGATTTTATCATATCTGCATGTCAACGATAACATTCTAAGAATAATGAGGATAAACTATACAAGATCCGCCCGTATTTTGAAACATTTAACCATCTATGTTATTATCATGGCACTAGGCAGTTGGCTGTGGATGAATCCAATCCAACCTAACAATTATTATATGTCATCTTAAAGAGAAAGCTTTGAGCTTTAATTTAAATTAGTTGAAATTTTTAAATTAGCATCTTTTTTGACATTCTTAGGTTGTACGAAAATGTAACTTTTATTTCAACATTTTTTTCTCAATATTTTTCCAATCCAATCCAACAATTATCATACATCATTTTAAAGAGAAAGCTTTGAACTTTAATTTAAAATAAGTTTCATTCCTTAACTTCAATAAACACGGCCTCCAGGAATTTTTAAATTAGCATTTTTTTTGACACTTTTAGGTTATACGAAAATGTAAGTTTTATGTCAAAATTTTTTTTCTTAATATTTTTCCAATCCAACCCAACAATTATTATACATCATTTTAAAGAGAAAGCTTTGAGCTTTAATTTAGAATAAGTTTCATTCCTTAATTTCAATAAACACGGCTTCCAGGAATTTTGAAATTAGCATCTTTTTGACATTTTTAGGTTATACGAAAATGTAAGTTTTATGTCAACATTTTTTTCTCAATATTTTTCCAATCCAACCCAACAATTATTTATTATACATCATTTTAAAGAGAAAGCTTTGAGCTTTAGTTTAGAACAAGTCTCATTTCTTAATTTCAATAAATACGGCATCCAGGAACTTTTAAATTAGCATCTTTTTGACACTTTTAGGTTATACGAAAATGTAAGTTTTATGTCAAAATTTTTTTTCTCAATATTTTTCCAATCCAACCCAACAATTATTATACATCATTTTAAGGAGAAAGCTTTGAGCTTTAATTTAGAATAAGTTTAATTCCTTAATTTCAATAAACACGGCTTCCAGGAATTTTTAAATTAGTATCTTTTTGACATTTTTAGGTTATACGAAAATGTAAGTTTAATTTCAATATTCTTTTTCTTCACATTTTTGTGATCCAACACAACCATTATTATACATCATTTTAAAGAGAAAGCTTTAAGTTAATTTAAAATAAGTTTCATTTCTTAATTTCAGTAAACACGGCTTCCAGGAATTTTTGAATTTGCATCTTTTTTGACACTCATATTATGCGAAAATGTTAGTTTTTGCTCAATATGTTTTTTCTCAATATTCTATCAGATTTTCGTCGTTCTGTAGATACATGTCTGATAAATAAATATTCAAATTTACTGCGTCCACGAAAATGTCGCAGCGCAAGTTCAAAAGAAAGTGAAAATTGTGAAAATTGTTCTGCCAAAGCCCCACTCAAAATGTACTGCGTGCAATGTTTATTTATGTTGTAATGAAAGAAAGAACTGTTTTTGTGAATGTCATAATGTGATTTAGCTAAAGCAAGTGTTACTTATTTTCTAAGGTAATAACACATTTAGGAGTATTATTTTTATATTAGCAATAAAAGTTTTTGTATACTGCAACATTACTAAAATATATTTTAATGCTTGATGGTACTCTCAAGTACCATGATCCCCCTGGAATGGGGGCTAAAATTGATTTCAAAGGCCTTTATCAAGTGTATTTTGATAGCGTTTTAATTCTGTCTCAAAGTTTCAATATTTTTGACTTCTTAGGACACAAAGGATTAAGTGAAATTCACTGTAAGTAATAATATTATATGTAAAAAATACATACCATTTGATTCTAACACTTCAGAAGTCAATCTAATAGTAAATGGATAATCCTTTGGTAAAGTTGCATTTAATCCTTTTTCTGCTAAAGCTCCATGACCCATTTCTCTTCTTCCAATTGGTCCAACTCGACCTGTTTCTTTTGTAGCATATGGCGGAAACTCATAATGTAAGAAAAAATTTTTTTCTTTAACACCGCTTAAAAATGAAACTTGAATATTTATGTATTTATTTAAAATTAACGAAAATAATTATTAAAAGAAAAAGTACCTTGTTAACATTGATAGAGAGTCCATTTTTAAAGCGCTTTGATGTGAATCTAAGGTAACGGTACAAAAAACTTGCGTTTGTCCTCTTTGGAAAAGAGCACTTCCGTGAAGTGGTTTAAATAAGTCTACTTGGCAAGTTATGTTTCTTAAATCGGAAAGGCTGCGGCCATCACATCGAATATTTTGTTCGAAAATTAACTCACGAAATTCATCTTTAATTACTTTATTTATTCCTTCATTGATTAATGATGATTCAACATCAGGGTAACTTGTTTTTATCTTTTCTGATACATCATTTCTAACATCGTTTAAAGCGTAATCTCTACTTAATTTATCATGTTTATAATTTTGAAAAATCTCTCTAATTCTAGTTTTTAATAATATTTCTAAAGCTTCAGTGATTTCCGCTGATAAATTTGATGGCGTTTCAACATTTCGTTTAGGTTTACCAAATTTTTTTTGCATTTTTTCAATAGCATTCACAACGAGTACAGCTTCTTGAGTACCTTTTTTTATAGCTTTTGTAAATTCTGGTAAATGTACACAATTTGCTTGAGCTTCCAACATCACAACTAAATTATGTTTTGTTGCAGTAACAATTAAATTTAAATCAGAAGATTGCATTTCCTTTCTAGTTGGATTTATTAGTAATTCATTATCGATTAAACCCACACGTACAGCGCCGACTGGACCATTCCAAGGTATATCGCTCAAACTTAAAGCTGCGGATGCTGCGTTTATTGAAATCACATCTGGGTTATTTACACTATCTACAGCCAACATATTACACATTAATTGTGTTTCAAAATTGTAATTTTCTGGGAAAAGCGGTCGTAAACTTCGATCAATTAATCTTGATGTTAGAATTTCGCGTTCTGTCGGACCTAATTCTCTACGAAAAAAATTTGTTGGTATTCTACCCGCTGCGGCGGATTTTTGTTTATAATCTACTACCAAAGGTAAAAAATTACTAGGAGTGGATTTCGTTTTTGAAACGGCCGTAACCATTACGGAAGTGTCACCCAACGTAGCTACAGCACAACCATCAGCAAATCTTGCATACTTTCCAGAAGAAATCTTTAAATTAATACTAAAGGTAAAAAATAAATTAATAAGTTTCTCTCCCTTATTCAAAATTTTAATATTTAGTTAGTAAACATAACCCACCCATTAGAAAAAGCTACGTCCGTTTCACATTCATTAAATTCCGTGCTATACTTGCGTAGCTTACCATGGTGCTTAATTTTACTTATTTTTTTATTAATTAATTTTGAAAATCTTATTCTTGGTAACATCTTTTTCTTTTTTGAAAGCACTATGCAGACTTAACCTCAAAAATATTAATTCTAACCTAAAATTTGAACTTTAAACAATATGGGTTGCCTATACCATTACTAATATTCATAAATACAATGTATTATTTTACTATTACAATTGGTTTTTTATTCTTGCATTAATTATCTCATTTACTGCTTTAATTAATTATTCGCTGACTTGGTTCAACGTGACAATTAACGGGAAGTTGAACGCTTGTAAACAAGCTACAAAGAAGCTAAATACAGCAACAAGAACGACATATAAACTATATTTTACCATATAACAATGAAAAAGAGGAGCCCTTGCCCTTAGACCATATAAATTATAGCATAGCCATATTAAATTGCCCTTCAGTTCGAACATAACCATTCAAGCAAAAGTTCTTGCTATAAAGTTGTGGAGCAGTTTAAACCTAGAAATTGGACAGAAAGGTGCATTCATAAACATTTACACAGACAGTCGGGCAATTCAGGTGTACATGTGTGACTCCGGACTGATCAGAAAAAATAAGAAAATAGACAAAGCAGATAGCTGGGTGGTGATATACAGGCGTGTCAAATATCTCGATTAATAATTTTGGCTAATTTTGACCAAGCTCAGTCCTAGATCACTCCTAGATATTTAACCAGCTGAGTGAGATTTGGAGAAATTTCCCGTAAAGCAAAAGTCAATGACTAAATACAAGTTTCTTTGTTAATCGTGGCACATTTTTTGGTGATATTTGTTTGTTTGTATTGTTTTTTGTTTCGTTGCTATGGCAACCAACATTGTTATTTTTTGCATATTTTGATAGAGGATAAATCCCTCTACGCGACAAACATATCATATCGTATGGTTGAATAAGAAAAAACCGAGAAAAAATGCGTTCTCTGAAAATATTAAATCAGCAAATTATAATCAAAGTAGACGCCGAAATAACGCCGTTGACAGCTTTAAATGTCAAAAAATTGACAGTATAAATATGACGCAATTAAGCAAACGACAAAGAATCCAAATATTAATGATGTATGGGTACGGTGATAGAAAAAACGCACTCAAAATGAGGTTTGTACACTGTTCAAAAATATTGACCCGGATACACAAATCACACAATCCACAGTAACCAAAATATTAAAAAAATTCTTTAACACCGGACATGTTAAAAAGCTTCCAAAAAGTAGACGGCTAATGACGAAACTACATTAAATGTGTATTATTGTAGTACCCATACATTATTAATTATTCCTAATTGTTGAAACTGTCATGTTTTTGACATATAAAGCTGTCAACGGCGTTATTTCGGCGCCTACTTTGTAATTTGCTGATTTAATATTTTTAGAAAACGCATTTTTTCTCGATTTTTTTTCTTATACAACCATATGATTTGATATGTTCATCGCATGGAGGGGTTATACTCAAAGTAAGCAAAAAAACACTATATGAATCCCATTTAAAATAACAATGTTGGTTGCTATAGCAACGAAACAAAAACAATACAAACAAGCAAATATCGCCAAAAAATGCGCCACGATTAATAAAGGACTTGTATTTGAAACATTTTTCTTTGAAACCAAAAATGGCGAAGTTATTGGCTATATTCCAGACAACTGCAAACCAACTGGACACACAGTCCTAACTCGATACTATCCTGCCGATAATACAGCATGTCTGGTTACAAATTCTTAATACTTAGTGAACTCATATTCATTAAATACGGGGTCCCACAAGGGTCTGTACTAACAATAAGTCCGTTGCTGTTTTTGATTTATTAATGACATGCCTAGCTGCCTGTCACAGAGCTCGGAGGTTGTACTTTATGTGGATGATATAGCTCTTGATCAGGCTGTGTCTAGCTCTACCTGAAGACTTCTATCTTGGTTTAAATTTAATAATCTTGCGGTGAACATGTCCAAGACTAAGTCATTGACGTTTGCTTTATGGGAAATTGCTTCAAATCCCAGTCAGCTGGTTAAATATCTGAGAGTGATACTTGATTCCAAGCTAACGTGGGAGGCTTGGTCAGGAAGTTAAATAAGTGTATTTTTGGAATTAGAAATCTGATATAGTACGGTTTGACCCTTTGATTGTCACTTATTAAGGATACTTCTACCCACAAGTGTCCTACGCCATTCTGTGTTGGGGTCACGCTGTCCAGGCTTTTGGAATGTAAAAGAAATGCCAAATTCCAAATTCTCTGGACTGAATATTTTAACTGTTCCGTGTGTATACAGGGTGTATCTGAATGACTGCAACAAACTTCAAGGAGTGATTCTTTAGTGAATTTTAAGGGTACTTTGATATATGAACCATGGGCGACTTTGGCTCCCCTAAGGAGCTATACCCCTCCAAAAATAGCGGAAAATTTTGGTTTAATTTCTTTTTCTCAAAAACCATAAACGCTAGGAAAATGAAATTTGGGGAATATGTTTAACTCATAATAGGGCACGTTTTGACCCTATTTGTACTTTCAATCTACCCTTCTAAACTACTAAACGTAACCACCCCCGTTCAATTTATGCCTAGATTTTTTTTATGAAGATGATAAATACATTGGAAAAAATTCAGTTAGATAAAACTATTCTAAAACTTTTTTGTCTCTCTGATGTTCTTCTAAAAATTAATAATTTCTGAGAAAAAAAAAATTAAGCAAACACTAACTGTTAAGCTGTAGGGTTGTTAATCGAAAGTTGGAATGAATTTTTAATGAAAAAATCTTAGTAGGCTTTGCAATCTTTGTCAGAAATATTTTTGACGTTTAAATATCAGTGGTTTTCTTACTTTATTATTGTTCTTTATATCTGCATAAAAAAAATTTTAGCAAAAATGTAAAGGGGGTGGTTACGTTTAGTAGTTTAGAAGGGTAGGTTGAAAGTACAAATAGGGTCAAAACGTGCCCTATTATGAGTTAAACAAATTCCCCAAATTTCATTTTCCTAGCGTTTATGGTTTTTGAGAAAAAAAAATTAAACCAAAATTTTCCGCCATTTTTGAAGGGGTGTAGCTCCTTAGGGGAGCCGAAGTCGCCCATAGTTCATATATCAAAGTACCCTTAAAATTCACTAAAGAATCACCCCTTGAAGTTTGTTGCAGTCATTCAGATACATCCTGTATATTCTAGAATTTCTGCAATACATCAAAAAAAATCTAACCTCATATCGTAACGATACGAGGTTGATATCGTAAAGTGGGCGATAAACACAATTATCAAACTAGAAGTAATAACAATATTGAAATAAATTTTACACGTACTGCGCGAGCTCGGAATGGTGGGCTGCCCGAGCGTGTCCGGGCCCTTGATGCAGTTTAAATCTAAAATAAGGCTCTACCTTGGATTTAAAAGTTTCTATGGCATTGATGAATACCTCAAAAATAATTTCAATGACTTGGAAGGCTTGCCGATGGCATTGCTATAATTGCATCGTGCGTTTTTTTGTTGTAACATCTTCCAACTTTTATTTATTTTATCTAGTTTTTTATTTTTTGCTTGCTGTAGTCAGCTCCTATTAATTGCATTGTATTTTTACGAGGTTTTCCTTTTTCAACCTCACATATTTTCATTACATATTATTTTGTTATAAGTTATAACATTACATTATACATAGTTTTTTTGTAACATTTGTACCTAAGTAGATAAATATTCGCATTACTTGTTTAAATTGACTTTATATCACACCCTTAATTCATTTTTAATAACTCTTCCATCCAAATTGTTAATCGACGAATAAACCGCGTGGTCCCTCTAACCACCCTTTTCCCATAAGGTATTAAATTCGCCGTTCGCATATTTAGGGAATAGAACCCTTGCGGATTCTTTTTTGTGGATATTTAAAAAAGAAACAACATAATGAAAAATTTCTATATATTTTATTAGGAAAATAGTTATTCCCTGAACAAAATAAAAAGGATAGGGGGATTGTATGTGGTGATGTTGTAAAAGGAAGAGGGATTTTTATTTTATTTTGGGTTTACCTATATAAATGAAAACGAATCCTACGATAGTATTTAAAAAAAAAAAGAGAGAAATACAAAATACAGGAAGTGTTTGAGAATAAATAGGCTTACAAACCGTATTACAGATATGGACCAAAACAATTTTTAAACATATGAAAAATACAACAAGTGTAAAACTTTGTCAACACCTCGGAAACCGTCAAACCTCTCATCTCTCTCTCTCATCATCATCGTTAAAAAATGCAATCCAATGAACAAAGACGTGTTGTTGTTGTTGTTGGCGGATTTAGATATAGTAATTTTTTTGTATGGAGGGTAGGGCCCTACTCTTGGTCGCAATCGCGCATGAAATGGCCAGTTTTCTGGCACCTGAAGCACTTGGTATTTTCCGGACAATTACGCGATATGTGCCCCAACTTCTTGCAAGTACGACACGCTTGGCTGGAAACGCGATCATTTCCGCCACCAGATTCTGGGCAACTCCTAGCGATATGCCCAGGCTTATTGCACGTGTAACAGGACGGCACCTCCGGACTTTGCTTACAGTCCTTTGCAAAATGACCTTCGCCATTACAACGATAGCAACGTTCCGCTTCCTCCTTGCAATCACGTGCAAAATGGCCCAAACGGTTACATTTGTAGCATTTTTCGCGACCACGACCGCTGAAACTATCACGGCCACCACCATCGCTGTTGCATTCTCGAGCAAAATGACCTTGCCTATTACACTTGTAACACGTACTTGAACTCATCTTTATTTGTTGCTTTTTATCTGTAACAAAATTAAATGATTTATTTTGTGCTTTAAAAGCGCCATCTTTTAATACATACAAAAATTAATTATAACCTCAAATTAAAACCCGCATTTTTAAAACGATGAAATTTTTGGGTTTTACACGTTGTTTGCAAAAAATTATGCAATTTAGAGGTATGTTAAAGCTGAAAAATACCGTTTTATTTTTTTTGCGGTATTATGCACGCTTTCATTATGATGACGTCAACAAAAAACATGTTGACCAACTTTTAGTATTAAATTAAAACAAAGACAAATAAAAAGAATTATTTCGCTTTTACCTTAATAATTCGTTGTTAATAATTTCGTAAAATTACGATTATCACGAACTTCGATCACGGCACGATATTGAAATCAAGAAATAAAATCATACTATAAATATAATAAACGCGCGGGAGATATCGCGAGAGTACAAAGATATACTTGGTATCCCACTCGGAAGAGAGGTGAATGACAAGATGTTGGGTTACACGTGGAAATGTAAAAGCAGGTCGACGACAAAAAATTTAAAAAAAAATCATGGAATAATTATAATTAAATCAAAAAACTTACTTTCCAATTGTACTCACGAAAAAAAATGAATCAAATAAAACACGTTTTTATAAAAATTACTCAAAACCTCGTTGCTTAAATTATCACGTGGTATTACGACGGCGCGTTCTTCTCGAACGAAAATTTACAATGTCACGGCTCACGGCCCGTTGGTTGGTACGAAGGCACAATGAAATGTATAAAAATGTAAAAGCCACGTTTAAAACTTACCTCGATATTAAACGCTCAAGTTGCACAAAATACAATAACATACGGATACGTCACGACAGCCTCTTGGTCAGTTCTATTCAGACCCATTCAGATTTACAATTAACTCGCGTCAGATGCCCACTCGCTATTGTAAATAATACAACGAGATAGTGAGGGGAAACCGGTAGTTCTTGTTCGGTCAAATAGGCGTCTCGGATGTTTTGAGCTTCATTTGGATACGTCGCCTTTCCTTTTTAGAATTGAAGCGGGAAATTCAAATTCACTTCTTTTTATGATCAAATTAATCGCCGTTTTTATGTAATTCAACTATATTAGCTTATATTATAATACTCAGAAAAGAAAATTTGGTGATTAAAGATGTATTTTTGTTATTTGACAAGCTTTTATTATAATATAATTAAAATAGTTTGTCGTTGCTATGTAATGCGAGGTTATTAAAATTTGAAATTATTGATATAAACCACTAAAACGATTTTAATTAATTTTTTTTGTTTAGAATTTAAAAAGTTATAAGAAAATTAAGATAGGGGTGGTGTATGAATTAATCATGTTGAAATAATTAATTAAAAATAAATTTATTATATTTATTGGTACGACTGAATATTTTTGTAATAAATTATTATGTATATATTCTATATAATATCCAACCTAATACTTAAAAAGAAGGTTTAATCTTGTTTATAGGTATATCTATAAACAAGTGTTTAATTTAATTTTTAGCAACAAATAAAAAGTGTAGTTGGTAGCATTGAAAATTATTATCCAGCAATTTTACTTATATCTATCGTCGTACAAAAAAATTTAAGTCAAAATACTTTAATTTGGTATTATCTTTCAATAAATAAGGAAAACCATATATATTTATTAATAACACAAGTCCTCTATAACCTAATTCTGAAGTAAACAATAAAAACCTAAACATGTGTTTCAGTGCCGGTAACGCTTCGTAACATTTCGAACGCTTTTTTCTAAGCTGATATAACGTAATATTTAATTTTAAGCTACAAATCTGATATATTGCAATATAAACTGTATGTTAAGGAATTAACTCGAATAAATACTCGATTCAATTTGGTGTATTTTTGTGCCAAAAAAAAGACATGAGGTTTCATGTAGGAGCTGTCAATCTGATCAACAGGATCGGTAAGGTTATCTATTATTAATAGATGGCGTAATTGGTTAAATAAGAAATTTAAAATTTAAAAAAATTTGTTCAATTTATAGGAAAAGTAATGTCGAATTCGAAAAAATCAAATCGTCCCTTTACTGTTATCGTTGAGGGAAATATTGGCAGCGGAAAAACAACATTTTTAAACCATTTTCAGCGAAATTCAAATATATTAGTTTTATCAGAACCGGTGGAAATGTGGAGAAATTGTGGGAAAGCTAATTTATTGGTACATATATTTAAATTTATCGTTCATTTTAATTTTTTGTATTTTTTAATAGGGTTTGTTATATGAAGATCCAAAACGTTGGTCGTTCACATTCCAATCATATGTTCTCCTAACAATGATTCAACAGCATTTTTTAAAGACAGAGAGGAGTATAAAGTTAATGGAAAGATCAATATACAGTGTGCGATATTGCTTTGTGGATAACATGCAAAGAGAAGGGCTCATGCCGGCACCTTCTGTTGCAGTATTGAATGAGCAGTTTAATTGGTTGCAAAGTAAACCGGAAGCAAAAGTTGATTTGGTGGTTTATCTTAGAACAAGCCCAGAAATTGTTTATGAACGAATGTTGCAAAGAAATCGTGATGAGGAAAAAACTGTATCCATAGAATATCTAAAAAAATTACATGATGTTCATGAAAACTGGCTTTATTATAAAAACGCGTATAGTTGTCCTGCACCTGTATTAGTTTTGGATGCTAATTTGGATAAGAAGACTATTGTGAAAGAGTACATTAAATCAGAAAAACTGATATTGAATAAGTTATCTATTTCTATTTAACTGAATTTTCTAGATCTGAAATGTATTTAATTTTGAATATTTTGTTATTATGTAATAATTGATAAACATTGATTAATACAATTTATTATTATAAAACAGTTTATTTTCTTTTTGGTCAATATGGAGTTTCTTCAGAAATTTTAAAAGAATGGTGTTTCTAGGATCTTTTAATTTATCAATAAGTAGTCAATTAAATGGTAATCAGAATTAATAAATTTTTAATACGGTAAAACCTCGATATAACGGACTTTGGAGATAACACTCATAATATTTTTACATAATACTATTGATAATAATTGAGAATAATTCTAGTTCTAGGGCCTGCTTCTGGGCCTCAGAGCAAAAAAAAAGTAAAGTTACTTTAAACCCTTCGGTCGATCTTGGCAAGATATTTATATAAAAAGTCGATTTTGCTGAAAAATTAGTGGACACCACTGCTTTAAATCGATTAAACGTCAAAATTGTTGATTTTCTAAAATTAAGTCAATCATAACTCAAAAACTAAAAGCGATGGAGAAATATTTTTTATACATAAAACCTTAGTAATGGACCATAGAGACTAGATCTATAAAAAGATTGAACCCAATTATAATCGTTCTTTATTTAGTAGCTTTAAATCGACTAAACATCAACATTGTTGATTTTCGAAAATTAACTCAATCATAACTCAAAAACTAAAAGCGATGGGGAAATACTTTTTATACATAAAACCTTAGTAATGGACCATAAAGACAAGATCCATAAAAAGATTGAACACAATTATTACCATTTTTTATTTATAAGCTCTAAATCGACTAAACATCAACATTGTTGATTTTCGAAAATTAACTCAATCAGAACTCATAAACTAAAGGCGATAGGGAAATACTTTTTATACATAAAACCTTAGTAATGGACCATAAAGACTAGATCCATAAAAAGATTGAACTCAATTATTACCATTTTTTATTTATAAGCTCTAAATCAGTGGTGGTCATAACGTCGATCGCCAAGAAAATCATGAATCTGAAATATCTATATCTGGGCCTCAGAGCAAAAAAAAGGAAGGTTACTTTAAACCCTTCGGTCGATCTTGATCAAAAGTTAGTGGACACCATTGCGTTATATCGAAGTTTTACTGTAATTTTATATATATTTTTTATTATTAATATAAACTTAATTTATTTAATGAAAAAATTATTTATAAAAAATAATAAATTAACGTTCTAATCTACAAAAGAAAGCATGTTTAGATTCGGTTGTATCTCTTCTAAGATATTTGTCATAAAATCCCAATTCGACATTTTCCACTTTGAAACCGAATTTTTGATAAAGTAACAAAGCCGCATTTGTTATTGATACATGTAATGTTATATCTTTACCTAATGAGGTCTAAAAATACAACTATTTATAATTTTTGATTAAAAACATTTTTTTACAAACCTGTATTAAATGATAAATAATAAATCTTCCAAGTCCGGCGTTTCTCCATCCAGGTCTTGTAAAAATAAACGACAAATAATTTTCATTAACATTTACGTTTGGTACTATAAATCCAAAAGCAACAATTAATTTTTTGTACAAAGCAACACAACTAAAATCTGGATATTGAAGCGATTCGGTTACTAAAAATTAAGAAGATAACAAAAAATGGTTACAAAATTTATTATTTTACAATCAATTCCTTCCCAAAAAAATTGATTACATAAACTATTTATAGCTGGAATATGACTGGGTTGAACATAAGTATAATCGATAGGATATCTTGGCTGTAAAATAAAATTTTCGTTTTTTTCATTTCCTTTTAACTGAATTTCTGCCATTAGTTGTAACCATGTTGGAAAACTTTCTGTGTCTCTTAAAATATAAGGTTTTAAATATAACCCGCTGTAAGGTGATAAAATTAATTCTTCACGAATCGTCCCAGTTAATTTTACACTTAATTTTGCACCAATAAAATGCGAAATACTTTTTAATGATGTATTATAATGAATGAATGGATCTAAAAAGTTTCCAGGTTTTTTATATAATTTATTTTTATCCATTATTAAATCAGATTTTTTATTAACTTGGTCAATATGATTATCTAATTTTATATACCTAAAAGAAAAATGTATCTGATTTAAGTTTTTTAAAATGATTTATTTACTTTTTAGGTGATGCTTCATTTATTTTCTCAATGGTTGGCAATAAACTTAATTTTTGGACGATTTTTTCACTCCTTATTTTTTTAGATGAAGAATCCTTAAAAATCTAATTGCAAACTTCATTTTTTTGGTTATCAATTCTTACCGGAATACTTTCTTTAACAAAAACCATTTTAGAAATCTCACTATTATTGACAGTTTCAAGAAATTCACGTTTTATCCCTTTCTCGACAGCTATTTCTTCAAATAAATTCACATCGGAATAAATTAAAACTTTGTTTTCCTTGTATTTTAATTTTTTTGATATAAATTCTGAGTCTAAACATTTTTTTTTGTTGATATAAAAATTCTTTGTTTGAATTAAAACTTACTGATATCAACAATAATTTTTGGTAATAATTGTGGATATGTTAATGTCCACCATCCTTGATCATTAACAGCTGAAGTTCCAGATGAAAATATTAACGGGCTATTATGAGATAAAGCTCCCGCAACAGTGCCCATCCATTTTTTCTTTCGTTTACTAAAAATAAAATGTTTATGATTAGTTTCATTACTATAACAAAAAAAAATATTAAGAATTAATCATACAAATCTTTACTAAATAAGACATCCCAATATTTTGTAATGAAAGTAGCGATGTGTGTTTTCCAATGAAAATAACCTTTCCTAGCTAATCCAGGCGTTCGTGTTTGCATATGATGCAAAATCAAAGTAATTACTTGTACCCATGGCATTTTATCTCTAACAAAAACTTCTGTACTTGTCGAAGAACATTCTGAGCAAGTATATTTAAAAAAAACATCTCCGCTTAAACCACCAGGAACAGACCCTTTTTTTGAACATTTTGTATGGGTTCCCTCATTACAATTAATACAGGTTAAGCATTCCTGATATAATGTTAATTCTTCCTTACAATATTTACATCGGTTATTCGCAACACTTTGATCCATTTTAAAATTAAGAAAATAAATTTTAAATATTATTTTATAGGTTAAGCAGGTTTGACATTTCCTTTAAACGAAATATTGCGCTACCAACTGTAAATCATTGGAAATTAATAAAAAAAATGTTGATTAAAAAAATTATATAATAAATATAATGTATTAAAAAAATATAATTAATCGAATTTGGTTAAGTATTAATGAAAAATTTAATTGTAAATTGTAATATAAAGAAAATGTTGTTACCAACCGTAAATACTAAACATTTACTGTTATCTCTGTAAGATTGATAAAAATTTGCATTGTATAAATAAAACAATAAATTGAATAATAAACGTAATAAATATAAACAATAAATGATATTCTTATAAATATTAAATTTTTGCAAATTGTAAATTTTAATGTAAAGAAAAAAAGTTGCCTTTCCTTGTCCACATATTCTCCTTCTTGTCATAAATGTTCTTGGTTGTACCGCGAACATTTTTAATAAGTAATAAAAGTAAAAATACAACGTTTTCCAAATGTTTTAATTCTTAGTTTTACATTGTAAATTAAGAAAACTAGTGTTTGGCTGTTACATGAAGCATCGAAAGTGATTTTAAATCAGATGTAAATGCAAATAATTGTCGCGATATATCATACTAGTGTTTATTAGTCAGTGTAACGGTATTAAAAACTACTTACTACATACGTTTGATGTTAATCTAAACGTAAAAGGTAATTTTATTTATATTAAATTCAACCACAAATGTTATTTATTCAGTTATATCATTTGATATTTCATCATATTTCATTTATTTTCTCCAAAGTTATAACTTGACCTTTTCAACAGTTTTTTTAGGATTCATGCTGTAAAAAATCGTGATAATTTAAGTCTAAAAGAAAAAAATGGATGGGCAGGGATCTGATATTACCTTTATTTTTCAATTTGGACTCATACGAGATACAGTGACAGTTCCGCAGTCTTCCTTAAATTTTAAAAACCTAAAAGATTTAGCATGTAACTTTATCCATAATAAGGTAAGTTTTCCATTGAGTTAAAGGAATAATCTCACATTGTAAGTTTTTGCTAGATTCCTGATCATGGAATTAATCGATTGGAAGATCGAGTGCTTTTATTTCGACATGAATACACCTCGAATAATATTTTACAATTCATTAATTCTTCAGCTGATATTACAGATGAAACGTTAGTTGAAATTGTTTTAACTGGAAAGCGTAAGAATTAAACCATTAGATTTAATGTGAAATCTTTTTAAAATTATTTTTTTAGCTCCTTCGGTACAATCGGAAATTACAATTGTCAGGCCACATGCTATGTCTGTACATTCATATAAAATTCCAACCTTTTGTGATTTTTGTGGAGAAATGTTATTTGGACTTGTTAAGCAAGGACTTAAATGTGCAGGTAATTTATTTTTTCAACAAATCCTATGAGTTAAATTAGTGAGAAATTTATTGGTTAATATGAATAATGATGGTTTTATTTTTTTTTTGATTTATTTATCTCGACTGGGTACAAGTTGACTTTTGGAAGTGTGCTGTCGACATAGGCAAAATAGAGATTTCTCATTGCAGCAATTTTAGAAAAAGTTACCATGGATCTCATAATAAATCTTAATGTATGCCAGGTTTTGGAGATAACAGTATCAATATGTTTATCAAATAATAATTTCAATCAAATGTAAGTCTCTAATAAATGAGACACTTTGCAACTTCTCACCAGCGACGCTATAATTATAGTGGATTGTGTTTACCCTCATAGAGAAGGAAATAATATTACACTTTGATAAGTTTAATGAAAGACGATTATTTAAGCAAAAAGCATGAAGATTAAAATTGATCATCAGTACCAATATTGTCAGTAAGCCTCCTCAACCTCAATCCTGTCAAACTGCATCTGACTCAAAGGAAGGGCATCCATTTCCAAACAACCCACATCCTGCTGGATTGGAGAAGGATCAATAAAAACCGAATAACACTTATAGTTAGTAAAAGGACAAAACACCTTTGGGTCAGATTGGATATTGCTTTCAGCTCTTCTAACATACTCCATGTAATTAAGATGTTTCCATTCACAGTGTGCCCTCCTTTTCTCTCAAATTCGTTTAATGGTATTATGTGAAAACCAAGTAGGAAACCCTTTGGTAGCTTGAACCATTGTCTCAAACACTTTCCCAAATGCTGGCAAAATAGATATGGGGCGGTAATCAAATATAACACCACTTTTTTAGTATAAAATGAAAATAAGTTACACAGAATATGTTCAACTGTCTCTGACTTGGTTCTCAGCTTGTCTAATGTTAAGTCTTAAATGTCATAAAACCTGAGAGCAACCTTAAGTCTCCTTTGCTGAGATGTAAAACCTCTTTAGTTTTCTTTTGTGACTGAGATCATACTCATCGCCTGTCTGTGTCCTGGAAGTTCTTACTTTATTTGAGTCCTCCCATGTGTTTTATGTGGCTTTTTTGAAGTCCACAGTCGGATTAGGGTTCAATAAAGGGCGTCCTCACTGCCTCTTTGGCCAGCTTCTCCGCCTTCACATTACCCACAATGTCTCTATGACCTGGGATCCACCACAGAGTAACTTGATTACTCCTGGCAAGTTTTCTCAGGTTATTTGTACGTTTTTTGACATTTTATGAAATAAATGAATTGTCTGTAAAGATGTTTATCAATGCCACTTGTCCCCCCTTATCAATGCCCAGGTTCAAAACAGTGCAGAAGTTTTTGGCAAAAACTTCAGCCTAAAAAATGTATTATGACATTTGTATAAGATCAAGGTTGACATTTTCATGTTAACCTTATTTAACATTTTATGTCAAAAATATATTTTATTGTTAATTTTCATAAAAAGAATGTATTATAAACCACTTATTTACTGATATTTTAGGTTGTGGCCAAAATTATCATAAACGTTGTATAGTAAAAGTGCCAAATAATTGCTCGTACATACTGTTAGAAGATAAGCCAGGAAAACGGTCGCATAATCTTCAAGTGCCACGTAGTCCATCTGGTGGATCAAACTCATCCGCGACATCCGGAAATTCGGGAAATACCGACGAGACCAACAGCTGGGTAAGAATATCCAATGCATTTACTGCGAGTTTGAATATAAGAGATTAAATTGTATACTTTGCAACGATTCCGTCCAAAAAAATAATAATTTTGAATTTCTTTTTATACATTTAATATTTTATATACGTTTTTATTGTTGGGTAAAGGTTTTTAATGAGATTTATATTTTTATATTTAATGATTTATATTTTTACGATTCCGTCCAAAAAGTCTATTTTAATAATATTAATATCTTTTTTTATATCTATTTGACATATTTTTTTTATTGTTGGGTGAAGGTTTTTAATGTAATTTATATTTTGTTTATTTTTTGAAATTTTCTTTTGATTAATATAAATATTTCTAAAATTATTTTTGTTTTCATTTATTCTTACCTTCACTTATCAATGTTATCGTATTCTTTATACTTTTCCCAATAAAAAAATATTAATTAAAAAAATTTAACCATTTAGAATAGATCATTAGAAGCACCAACTTTAACATTGGGAGGTCGATTAATTTCCTTCGAACGTGCGGGCCCCAATCGAATTCTACATAAATTTGAACTACATACCTACAAAATTCCAACCGTTTGCCAAGTTTGTAGACGACTTCTAAAGGGGCTTTATAGGCAAGGTTATCAATGCGAAGGTTGTTATTGGAACGTACATAAAAAATGTGTTGAAAAAGCTAAAATATATTGCACAGCGGAAAAAATTAAAGACGCCGCAATTGGTAATTTAATTGCAAGAAATGAAACTTGATTATTAATTTTAAAGTGTGTCGTTTTTTTTATAGGAAATTGTGATTATGCTGAAAGTACAACAAGTAGTGATAGTCACAGTATATCAAATTTAATTGAAGATGAGAGCGATTCAGAAAAAACATCTCAAACATCGCAAATAAATGGATTATGTGAGAGTGAAGGAGTTCCAGTTAGAGATGATGGCGAATCTACACCATCTAGGTACGTTAAACAATTAATTAGGGGAGGAGGGAATGTTTTTAACAAAAACTTATTCCAACCAAAATACTTTTTGCGTTTGGAAAATGCCATAATACTTAATCATAAAACAAACGTAACTGCTTTACTAACATACTTGCATACTTACTATACTTGTTTTTTCATAAACTAACACTGTCTATTAATTTAAAAAAAAGTTGATTAACAAATTAACAAACGATCTTTTCTTTAATAATAAAAACTAAATAAATAATATTCGCTTATCTGGGTTATATCTTCCTCTATTTTCTTGAATAAAACTAATTTTAAATTTATTCCCAGTACTTTATCTTTACATAGTGCCAACATTCCGCTACAGAGAATCGTGCAATCTGTAAAACATACGAAACGTAGAGGATCGAAAGTAATTAAAGAGGGTTGGTTGGTTCATTTCACTAATAAAGATCGAACTGTGAGGAGACATTTTTGGCGATTGGACACTAAAGCGGTAACTTTATTTCAAAATGATAAAGGATCTAATTATTATCGTGAAATTCCCTTGGCTGATATCCTTACAATCGATACGGCTCGCGTAAAACAAGGGGATATTATGCATTGTTTTGAAATTCGAACAGCAAACATCGATTATTTCGTTGGACAAGATTTGTTGTCTAATTTGGATCAAGTACAACAATTAAATTTTCCGCCTCCAGAAACGGGTATCGGTGCTTATTTAGCGAAAAGTTGGGAAACATCTTTAAGGCAAGCTTTAATGCCTGTTACAACTAATTTAAGTGAGTTTTAATAATTATTAATAAACTTTATAAATAAAATTTACTTTCTATAGAAAGTGAAGAAAATCATGATACTGAAGAAGAAGTAACTGATATGACACAGTTATATCAGATTTGCCCGGATGATATTTTAGGTTCTGGACAATTTGGAACAGTTTTTGGGGGGATTCACAAAAAAACGTGTCGACCCGTTGCAATTAAAGTTATCGATAAGTTGAGATTTCCAACGAAACAAGAAGCTCAATTAAAAAATGAAGTCGCTATTTTACAAAATTTATCTCATTTAGGTGTCGTAAATTTAGAAAGAATGTTTGAAACGCCTGAAAGGATATTTGTGGTTATGGAAAAATTAAAAGGAGATATGTTAGATATGATTTTATCGCATGATAAAGGACGTTTACCCGAAAGAGTTACTAAATTTTTAATCACCCAGGTATTAATTTAATAATAAAATCTTAATCTTCAAAAAAATTCCTTTTTTTTGTAGATTTTAATAGCTTTAAAACATCTCCATACAAAAAACATTGCACATTGTGATTTAAAACCAGAAAATGTTTTATTGAGCTCCGACGCTGATTTTCCACAAGTAAAATTGTGCGATTTCGGTTTTGCTCGGATTATAGGTGAAAAATCGTTTCGACGATCAATTGTTGGGACTCCAGCTTATTTAGCACCGGAAGTTTTACTTAATAAATGCTATAATAGATCGTTGGATATGTGGAGTGTTGGTGTTATTGTTTATGTAAGTTTAAGCGGTACATTCCCATTTAATGAAGACGAAGATATTAATCAACAAATTCAAAATGCTGGGTTTATGTATCCACCAAATCCATGGAAAGAAATATCTTCTGAAGGTAATGATTTGTTATTAATAAAATTAATTTAAATATATTAAATTTTTATTTTTAGCTATTGAATTAATAAATAAGTTATTGCAAGTTAAACAAAATAAACGACTTTCTGTTGATAAATCTCTTCAGCATATTTGGTTACAAGTGAGTTTTTTTTAAATACAGTAAAATCTCGATATAACGGATTTTGTAGGATGGTAGTTCTAGTTTTAATTGTTATTCAGCGCTAGATTCTTGTATATTTTTATTGAAAATCATTCGGGTTTAGCCGTTTTAACAAACGTATGGCTAAACCCAAATATTTCTAGTTCTAGATCTAATGTTAGTTCTAGGTATAGTGTTAGTTCTGCATAGTAACAGTGCTAGTGTAAAACTAGAACTAACACTAGACCTAGAACTAGAAACCTTACTAAAACTAAAAATATTCAACAATCTAGCGCTGCATAACAATTAAAACTCGAACTATCACTAGACCTAGAAAGTGTTTCTAGTTCTAGGTCTAGTGTTAGTTCTAGTTTTACACTAGCACTGTTACTATGCAGAACTAACACTATACCTAGAACTAACATTAGACCTAGAACTAGAAACACTTTCTAGGTCTAGTGATAGTTTTATGATTTTTTTATTTTTATTGAACGAAATGTGGAACTAACACTAGAATTAGAAACATTCCGGTTTAAGATTAACATTCCGTCTTAAGAGACGCGTGACGTCACAAGCGGGCCTTCAAGCTATGCACCTGTACCTGGAATTTAGCAGTCCTCTTACACTCTACCGTCTTTGGTATAAATATAAAGCCAAGTAGACTGAACGCAACAATGTTCAGGACACTCCCTTCACTATATTAGTCCGTTATAACGAGATTTTACTGTAATAATTTTAAATAAATTAAATTAAAATGTTTATATTATTAGGATTACCAAACTTGGTGTGATTTGAGAGCTCTTGAAACACAGATTGGTTTTCGTTACTTAACTCATGAATCTGACGATGTAAGATGGGAAACTTACAAAGCAAATTGCCCATGACCAGCAAAAGGATGGCTACATAATATGAAAAAGTGCCTACGCGGTCTAAAGGCATAATAGAAAAAAAAAGGAAATTTTAAAATATTAAAACGCACACAGTTTCAAGATTAATTAAATATTTAAGGTAGGATATGATGTCAATTTGTTTTTAAATGTTTTATTCAAATGAACAAGAACGAAAAGAACAAGAAATCTTCCATTCTTCCTGAAAATTTATTGATTTTTGTGTATCGCCTAGGAATTAAGATTATTAGCTGATAAAAATTCTCAGATAATCTCGTTTTTATACTGAAAAATTATATATTTTTTAAATCAACATCACAATATGTACTCATTTTTTTATACTCTTTTAAAGTGCAATTTAAAATTTTATTGTAACGTTATTCTTTTTTATAAATTATTTTTTTAATCGTATAAATTATAATGTTATTACGTAGAATCGTGATGTGAACGTGGAATTTCGTAAATTTTGTGATAAGGTGTTTTTTTTATGTAAATTATAAAAAATGTGGTTGTGTATTTGTTGATCTGATATTTAAGGGAATTTGAAAAAAACCTTTCCGTAAAAATGATTACAATCTCTTAATCTTGAATCTCTTTTTTGTGGGAAGGTTGTAATTCAGACTTACATATTAAAAGCAAGCCTTAAAAAAGCTGTTTTGTCTTAAAAGAAATTATATTTTTCAATGAATTAATGAATCTGTATACATACTCTGTACCTTTCTCAAAAATCTTTAAAAGAAACCTTATCGTTATAATGTCAAAATCTATTTAATGCATATTAAGTTATTAGAAGAATACTACCTTTGTCCCATAATAAGTGTCTGATTTGTTGTAAATTTAAGTCCCGAAATAGATAAATTTTTACAAATAGTAAGAAAACTCTAGATTTTTAAGTATCTTACACGTCAAGTTGATGCGTTAAAATTTTTTGACAACATACAGTATGGAAAATCCATATTTGAACATCCTTCGAAATATTAGAATAACACGAATTTTTGATGATTGGTTACTTCTGCAGTTCAATAACCGAATGGTAAAGGACATTTTAATCACAGTTGACAGAAAAAAACATATTCGAACAGTACAAACTTTAATAATAACTAAGAAAATTATTCTAATGCTGCTTAACAACAGCACTTCGACACCAATTCCGCTAGTTTAGTGGTTAATTGAGGTGGTATTTGAATCCATTCTGTTTTCAACGCTACTTTTACGTCAATTACGTTTCTAATTTCTTCTTGAATATTGACAATAGTATTAAGATCTGTGAGTTGCTGCACGATCCCATGCCATATAGAAAAATCTATCTTCACCCACCATTTCATTTATAGCCCATGTCTCGGTCATTTTCAAAGAATTTTTTTGAGCATATTTAAATGCTAGTCGTCTTACGGCTTTTGGTACTAAACCATGAAACATGTTGCTACATTGCAACAAGTATTCCACAAGTTTAGTTTCGTATTTTTTGGTAAATATTTGCCTTTGTGCAAAATTGGGCGAAAAGTTAACATTTTCTATACTATATCCCTTGTTATTTCACATAATTAGCGAGTGAGACTTTTTCACATCATAAATTGTCGCAGCAGAACTTAAACTCATTGTTCTTCTATTACAGCCAGTACGGCCCTTTTTATAACATCTTCCGAAAAATCGTGGTTCGTCACCCTATTGTAACTTTGCGGCATACCTGGTCCTCAAAATAATAGAATAATTCGCCCTATAATTCGTTAGGGATGCTTTGGACAGCTTTCCAATCTATCCCCATGTTGTCTCTGATAACATGAAAATTCGAAAAAAGATTGACGTTAAGATTATGTTAGCAATAACTATAACTTTGAAATGGAATAAAACCGATGAAACAGCTACAATACTCAACTAATGATTGATTCGAATAGTAATGTCCAATATTGTAATGAAATTTTAATAAACAAACAAAACTTTATATGATTTTCCGCGAATGAACTTCATACACGTGAGAGAGAGTACACTATAAAGCAGGTCATTACAGCTATCTTTTATGTAAAATTGAATCATTTAACTGCAACAGTACGCGAAATATTAAGCTGTCCATTATATCCCCGGTTTCCTGTACTGTACATTACATTACTTGATGGAACAAAAATTTGTAACTTTTTAGTAAGTTTCACGAAATCAGACACTTATTTTGAGACAAAGGAAGTACAAAATAAGAAATAAACGAAACTATTTGCGCGAAGATGTCTTAGTCGCGTATCGCACATTTTAAAAACAAAAAAAAATAAAGATAAAGGCCTAAGTAAATAAAAATAAAGTACATACACGCTTCAGTATTGTAAATCTAACGTTATTAATTAAGTATTGTCTCTTACTACAAGATTCAAAAAAAAATACATTATACAATTATTACTATATTCGATATTAAAACTTAATGATAAAAAAAACGATATTAATGTTATTCTCTTGGTAAATGTTTGATGATGCCAAAACGATCCAGGTAAACGTGCGTTTCTATCTTAAGACTTTTAAGATAAATTAGTATTCGTTGTTTGTTCGGAATGGTAACCGTGTTTTTTGGGGGAAAAAATGTTTTATATATTAAACGTAGATAAAAAAAGAAAATGTGTTTTATTTTGTTCTAAAATTAAATTTAATATTTGAAATTTAAGTATTTATTATTATTAAACATCAAAATTAACTAATTGATACATATTATCCGGTTTCTTTAACAAAACCCCATCCAAATTCAATATTTGTATTGTATTATAAAACCGATTTTTAGCTACCCCGGCTTGCGCAGCGACATTTCTTAATTCTTCTAAACTAAACATTTTCGATTCATTCGATTTTGAAATATCTTCTAAAAGCGATAAAAACTTTGAAACTTGTTTTCTTCCGCTAATTCCGGTACCATTTGGAGATCTACCATAATCAAAGGAACCATTTTCGTCAATCGCCACGCTCGCAATACTATATTTTATTATTTCGATTACTTCAAGGGCATCTTCAGCTGTTGCTTCTTCGCGTAATTCTAATTTAGCTCGAGCTTGTGTTAATCGTTTTAATGATTCTAATTGTCGGGCAGTTACCGGCGTAAAATTAGATGTATTTCGATTACTCCGTAAATCTAGATAAAATTCTTCTAAAATCACTTTTGCTTCAGCATTTAATTGGGGTTTAACGTATTTTTGAGCATAGGCTATATATTTTCTAACCAACGAATGCGGAATTAAATCAAGTTCTTCATTAGGTTGTATTAATAATTCTCTAAAAATGAAAATAATTTAGATTAAGCGTTATTTTCGAATGAAATTTTAATAAGTACTTCAAAGATGTTTTTTTTGAAGACGTTGCTTCGTTATCGATCTGGTACTTTGAAAAATGATTTGTTTTCTTATTTGTATGTAAAGCAAGAACGTGTTCTGATAATAAAACATCTGATTTCTCATCAGATCGATCTAATAAAATAAAAATTAAATCAAAACGTGAAAGTAAAGCTGAATTTATTTTTAAATTTTCTATGACGGTTTTCGAATGGTTATAATGACCCCCAATGGGGTTTGCAGCAGCTAAAATAGTCGTTCTTGTTGGAATATTTCGCGATATACCTGCTTTGGCTATACTAATACTTTGTTGTTCCATTACTTCAAGTAAACTCTGTTGAATCAAAAATAAATAATTAAAAAAAGTATTTGTTTTAAAACGTTAATTTTTACACTATTTTGAGATGGTCCTTTATCGAATTCATCAATACAACAACATCCTTGATCAGCTAAAACTAAAGCTCCAGCTTCTAAAGTATATTCACCTCTTGACTCCCTATTTACAGTTACTGTTAAGCCGGCTCCAGTGCTTGTATTTCCACACACATAAACACCTAAGATAAAACCAAATTAACATAATCTGATTATCTTAATGTGGATATAAATTACCTCCAGGTGCTATATTACAACAAGCTTGTAACATTTGTGATTTTCCCAACCCTGGGTCGCCCATTAATAACACATGACACTCTTTTCTTTTTTCAATAACGTTTTCTGTGCCTCCAAAAAGACTTAATAAAAGTCCGGCTTTTATTATTTCGTGTCCGTATATGTTTGGGCATAAAGAATGGACGAGTAATCGAAATAAATTTTCTTCTGAATGAATTTTCTGGTTCATAAAAGATATTAATAAAGTTTAATTTCAATAAATTAAAAAAAAATTATTTAATTACTTCAATTTGATAATAATCCGATGTGATAAATGTGATTTTTGGCGAAACTGAAAACGAATTTTGTTGTTGTCGACTTGTTTTTTCATTAATAACGGAAATTGCTTTGATATAAATATCGTAAAGGGCGCCGCTTTTCTTTTTAAATCCATAATTCGTTGGTGAACTTTCCGTTTTTACGACGCCAACAATGGTGACGTCATCGCCCAATATACATGAGGAAACTAAATCGTTTTCAAGTAAACATGGAATACTACGAGGTATTCGAGCACTTTCCCCCTAAAAATAAATTTAAAAAAATACAAAGACAACGATAATTTAGGAACTTACTGAGTCATCATCATTAATTTCTTGAATCTTAATATTTTGGTAATTAATTGTATGTGTGTATTTAGAAGCTAATAAAGGTTTAAATTTCGATTGAGCCCGACATCCTTTTCTAATACACATATTTGGAGTTGTATAATAACCATCATTTTGTTTAACAATTAACATTTGTTCACATTGACTACATTTAAATTCAATTTCAACACACAGATCTTGTTTATCACCAGTTTTTATAACAGCACCTTTAACAGCAACCAATTTATTACAACGATTCACCCGAACATCTTTAATATTTAATACAGGTTCAACATTAATTAATCTACAATGTACAATAGGAATAAGATACTCGCTGTTTTCTTTTTCAACTTCACATAAAGTTTGATGCATTGCTAAACCTATACATTTTAAAATTTCCTCTGTGTTTTCTATCAAATCTTTTTGTAAACTATCAAAACATTTATTTAAGAACTCGTCTTTTAAAACCTCTTTATAATCGATCGTAAAGAAGCCATCTTCTTTAATTTTTCCGTATGAAAATAACGAATTATTCTTGCTTATGTACGATTTGAAGTGGTTTATTTTTGATTTTATAACTTCATTGTCAAGAAACGCTGCAAATAAATATATTTTGAAGAGTTTACAAAGATGTGTTATGAATACTTACTTCTGTTAAAATAATGATAAAATCCCTCAAAACCATTACAAGAAGATGGTGTTGATTCCCTTATATCTTTTGAATCTGAATTATGAGAATTAAACTTATTAAATGAATTTTTTCGTTTATAAGACATTGTTTTGAATATTTGAATTTTTCTTTGGTTAGTTTTTTAGGTTAACTTAAAAAGTTATAAGATTACCTAACATAGGCAACCACATATACGACCAATTTGTAGACTTATTTTCCCTTTCTTTGCTAATTTTAAGAAAACAACGTATTTTGAGAAATTTTATTAGTAATGGTATCATCTTTTCATGTTAATAAAATATTCTATAAGATGTTGCGTAATGGGGTCATACACACTTATTAAATTGAGAGAAAATTTTTATGTCAAACGATATATGCAAGTATATGCATGAACACAAAGTAAAAGAAATATTTTGATCAATTTTATATTTTGCGTAATTTGAAGTGAAAAATAACAAATATTCAAACGAAATAATTTCGCGGCTTTTCTGTGACGTAGGAACCGCACTGCCTAAAACAAGTTAAATTGTCCGTTAGATAGCGCTTGCGGTGTGACAGTGTCAAAATAAAACCATGGATGTAATACAGTGTCTCTATTACATCCATGAACAAAACATAATAAACATAACCTACAAACACTCTATCTCTTTTCAATACAACCTAAATGACGTTCATCTCTTTCTCGCATTTGGTCGGGGAGCAGGGGACGCAAAAGTGAGAATCGTACGTCATTGTCACAAACTAGCTCTCGAGAAGTTCTCGTTTCCCGTAGTGGGTTTCCTAGCTAGGTCCACGGAGCGGCTCGCGTACCCAACTGTCCACGCACTACCGTTTTCTTGATAGCTAGCAATGACTGAGTTAGGGTTTGGCACACTGCATTCGTTCACTTGAAAGCGAACGGCAGTAATTTGAAATTAAGAATAAAAATAGATTGAAAGAAAACGAAATTTCACTGCTAAAGAATAAGTTTGCTTTATTTTTGAACAAGAACGTATTATATTATATATAAAAAAAAACAACTGACAAAGGTTTTAAAAAGTAAAAATTACATGACATAAGCTATTCAACAACATCATTACGAAATTTGCCGAGGTGGTTAGCAGGTTCAATGAGAAATCGGAAGTTTAAGATTTTAATAACGCTTACCCGTTTGTTAAAGTAAAATATTCATCGAAGAAAGAGAATCCAATTCAACGAATTTTATAACTAAATTGCTATAAGTTCAAATCGCACGACTCGAATTTAAAAACACAACAAAAACTTTAATTTCCCGGTTTCGCCCGATGCTTTTCTGTTCCAATCCCGTAACCGACTCCCCGATTTTTTCTTCATTTCTTCCCTGCTCCATCTACTCTAACTGCCACCTCGGCACATTCCTGCCAGAACCGCCTACGTAGTATTTAGTCTGGACCCTCGGTTCTCAAGACGCAACTTCGTAATTAAATTACAAAGTTCTGCCTGTATTGCGTTTTATTATTTTTTTTTAATCGCTTTCGAATCCCAAAATGCGGTTTGTTACATCAATCTGTTTCCAGTATTTCAAG